TACCCACTCACACCAGTAGCACATCTGATTTTTAAAGCAGTCATTACAGTCTCATTCGTTCATTTGTTGCATTTGGATGCAAATCTGCGTTACAGTGCGTCGATTTCGTCTTCATCAAAACAGGACTTGAGATTTTATGTCATATATGAAAGTTTTTGTTAGAGTTGCGCGTCTTGAAGCATTGAGACCTTGACGACTCTGATTGTTTGGAGTCCCATTATTCCCATAATTAGCAAAAGTATATACTTGATATTTCAAACTCCTGGCCTCATTTTTCAAGCAAGATTTAAAGTCAATGATTATCATAGATTTTTAATTTGAGGAAATTCAACAAGCTTTCATATATAGTATGACTTCGATGCCTTGTGATTTTTATAATTTTCTTTTTTTTGCACACATAATAAATATCTGAAATCCTATCATTTTCGAAATGGATGTTTTTGCATTTTATCGGTGATATTAGTTTAGTTCATGGGATGAATCTAATATGATTTATAAAAATGCGTCAAAATTTTGATTTAGCTGAGTAGTCTATCATTGTAAGATTTATTGACACTCTCAGAAAAAATAAAAAAGTATTAGCGTTGCAAAAAGAAAAAATATATACAAACAGACGAAAAATGTAGAATTCTTGTAATCAAAAACATATAATAACTGCTATTAGGTTGCATTCACTATTCGGTTTGTAATATATTATTATTATTTTATTTCGGTAAAAAACACAAAGGCGTCTACCAAGAAAAGCTCTCGATCTTTCGGAAGCGTTTTCACAAAATCTAAATATTGAGGTATAGTTGAAGTGTCTGTTTGAAAAACAAATTAAAAATAACACCATCAGTTATAATATGCGTTCCTTATGTTTCAAGTACTCGACAACATTTCCGCTGAGGTTAGCACAAATAAAAATTCCCGTGTAGAAATGCCTCAATTAAGATATGTTTTTAACAAATTTGTTCTAATAAAATATTCCAGCAATTTTTAGCATATACCATTAGCTGTTTTATTAGAGAGCACTTTAAGGGCGATCCGCCGGCTTATTCCTGTTTGGCATCGTTTAAATAAGTCATGTGTCTGAAACCCTCAAAAACGACAACAATGATAGTGAACCTAAACAAGGTATAGCTGAAAAGTGGAAAAATCCCTGATTGATGTTGCTTCTTTATGAAGTATAATTCACGCGTTCATGTTTTTGCAAAGCTACATGATCGAATCAATATATACGCCAACATTCTTAGCTGTTGCGTTTATGGTTTCTTCGGGTCGCATTGAAGTTAAATTGTATAAAACACGCCATTTACAAAATAAAGGCTCGTAGAGTTCCTTGTAATTTTCTGTTATAAGAGCGTGCAAAATGGGATTTAGAATAACATGAAATACCGACGAAGCTGGAGACACAATTATAACATATTTAATCATTTTTTTAACGTTTGAAGATACGGGAGGGAGCAATGATGTATGGGATGTTGCCAGATTATACCATATAATATCTGCAGATGCAGAAAATCCTAGATAGAAAACGAAGACAATAACAATGACAGACAAATGGCGCGCCGCTTTTTGATATAACTTTGTCTTCACAATATTGCTGTGACACAAGCGATAGATAATTGGAATATATGTCGTCACCATTGTAATTCCTGCAAGGCCTGGTGCAATAGACTGTATTAGCATGGAGTAAAATATTGCGGTTTCTGCCGCGCTTGATTTTTCTTTAGTGGTTGCATCGTTCATCCTCAAGTTATTAGATTCAGCCTTCATTACGATCAGCGGCGACGTAACAGCAGCAGTTATCAGACAAGCCGCCGCAACAATGTAGCATCCAATCTGTTTAGTTATTTTTGTCTTTGCTTCTATTGGCATGAATACTGCTACAAATTTCAATACTGACAGTGCTGACACCGTAAGAGAGGAGAAAATCACGCCCGCGGCTATGGCCGTGAGCTTGATCTCCATTGAAACGATGTCGTTTTCATAACTGAATCCTCTCCGTCGAAAGTAAATACCTTCTGTCACCATCAATACGGTAAGGAGGGCGATATCAACAACAGCCATGCTCATGAGAAGTATATTGACAGAAATTTCAAGCATTGTTCTTCTGCTATATAAAAGCAAAGTAACCAGCAGTATATTGACAATGTATCCAATAGCGATTTCAATAAATAAAACAATTTTGATTGAAAAGTACAGCGTCGTATCCTCATCCAAAAATCTCATCATGAAGCTAGTTAATGTAATGTAATTCCGCTCTGCTGTGCCATCTCCTGCAGTGCTGTTCCCGTCGTTCATACCGTGTATTTCGTTTTGCACTGTCTAATCATATTTCTATAAATTAAAATGTGTGCTGTTGTTGAAAAATTTTATATAAATAATTGTATATATTATAATATATATACACAAATTGACGTCTCGCTTTTGGATCAATACATGTGGTGCTGGTGAAACCGACACAGTTGCTATAATATAACGTTTTTAAACTTTAGTTCAAACTCCGTGTCTAACTCCTCATCCAGGACGTGAAATTGAATTAGATGAGCAAGGCTAAACCGAACCATCGAGGTCTCCCAAAAATAGCAGCTCCTCCCCAGAATTTTGCACTGTCTTAGAGAAAGCCTTGCTCGGGGTGAAGGTGTCACAACAACTTATAAAAATAGTAGAATATATATAAAAATATATATAGTAGCTCAATGACCAATATTTCAATTTTGGAATATGGCAGGACTCCCAGTGTTCAGAAATCCTAATGGCTAATACAGGAGTCGAAGTTAGTCCACATGATAAATTTAATTTAATTTTGTGCAATATCCATTCCAATTCTCATATCAACTTCGTGAATCGTGACAATATTCTTGCCATTCTCCCTTTATTCCATCAATAATAAGGTGCTGATTTAATTATAATATATATCTGAAATAAAACGTATATATATAGGCTACTATAAAGAAATCTCTGTCATAGGTTTCTGGCAAAGAACTATTGCAGATATTTAAGCGTTTTCTTGCCACGATATCTGTGCTTCAACAAAGCTGCAAAAGTGTTATTCCAACTGCCGCCTAGGGGCATGTCTAACGCGACATAATTATAATCATGAACGGACAAGGAAAGATTAATTAATTAGGTATAAATAATTCATATATATGACCGATTGCCTAATAAATATGCCATTACAATATACCGCAATAATGCCAATTTAACGCCACAACATTTTCAGTTGTATAATGAACTGACATTGAGTCAATAATCCAAAGAAACCTTTATCTTCGATTTCAACTATTCAAAACGACCCATGCGGTCTTCGCTGCCCAATCTCAAAAAATATTTATTTTGGAAAATATTCGACAAAAACGACTACATTAGAAAGCAAAGTGTAGAAAATAACTCCGAGAGTAAGGCGCTGAGTATTTTTGTCATTGCGTTACCCCAGTTTGACTATTTGCAATATCAAGTTTAAATCAAGTTTACGATGGCAAACAATAAGTACAATTATGGACGTTTCCCCGAGTCTTGACCCCTGAAAGATTCTCCCTATACTTTATCATTGTAAAATATTTTTAGTGCTGATTTGATAGAGTTTTGGAGTGTTGTTGCTTAGAAACTGCCCCCGTGTTCAAAACTATCATTTTTATTACAAGAGAGCTATGCTCAAATATATGGACACGTAATTTTGATGACGTCATAGCGAAAAAAAAAAGTAATAGCCTTCTGGAGAAAAATTTTATCTTTAACCACTGAAAATTCAAATTCGAAAAATCAAAGCAATTGGTCCAGTATTCGAAGAGAAAAGCGACTTTTTAAAAACGTGTCAAAGAACAAAAGAGCTACGCACAAATATATGGACACGTTAGACCAGAGCGAATCAGTCTTTACCGGTTCCTTTGACGCTACCGGTACCCTCAAAAAAGTTCTGAATTTCCAGTAGCAAGAATTTTGCAGAATCAAAACGTACAGCCAGTCATGACACTGACTAAAATCCGTGTTCCCATGGATAAAAAATAATACAGCAAAATTTTAGACGAAATATCAAATTTCATAGAATTCACGCAAAATTTTGAAATAAATAAAAGTAATAGCCTTCTAGCGAAGAAATTAATCTTTAACCACTGAAAATTTCAAAGCAATTGGTCCAGTATTTGAAGAGAAAAGCGATTTTTCAAAAACGTGTCAAAGAACAAGAACAACAACAACAACATAATATTGAAACGATCGTTATGGCCACTAAACGTGTCCAACAAGAACAACAACAACAACAACAACATAATATTGAAACGATCGTTATGGCCACTAAACGTGTCCAATAAATAAACAACAAACCACGTGCCGCTTATAGGTACTGATAGTTAGTTTTAGACTAGTCTTTGGCAGAGTCTTTGGTGAATGTAACTGGATGAACTAATGACAATTAAGTTATTTGATCCATAACTATTTTTGGGAACGCAACTAAAAATTGACGAACACGCAAAACTACCGAAAAGAGGCAACGTTTACTTTACAACAACGCTTGAATATCTATCTGAGCAGCGGCAGAAAATCCTATTATTGCGTCATTGATACCTTATTGCTGATTTGTAATTGTTACGGAATTAAACAAGAAACCCACCCGGTTCTCGAGGAAACATTCATGATAATTCTAGGCGTGCGCAAATCATATCCTCCAGGTGTCGCTACTGACTCACAGAGCAGCTGTAAAAACAGCTCGAGCGTATCGACAATCGAATTGCGATTATAATTTAAAAAAGCTGCTTCAGACGAGATACGACGCTTCGCGGGCAGGTTCGTGCGGTCTAAATAGATGTTCGTTTTTACGAAGAATGCTTCGCTTTCAAGCACGGAAATCATGTTGTTTGGCTTTGCCACTAATATAGAGTAATGAACGAAGCTAATCTAGTCAGCAAGTGCTGTATTTTCTGTACCAGGTTAGCATTTAGGACTTGAGTTGAAGGTCCGGCGGATAAAATAAGGTACGGTAACGTCACTATAGGTTTTATTCATTTCCCACTGTCAATTCTATCAGGTGTTTAATATCTACAGATGTATAATTAGGGCCTAAGACCTCTTCAATTACTTAGAAGCTAAGGCCACTGTACATAGTCTAGTTACCGACCTACCTGTACCGCTGGTCGGTTACCTTGGATTTACTGAAAATATCGGGATGGATTTGCAAGCAATTGTACGTGGATTTAATTGTCCGATAAACGAAGAGCAGTCGTGGGCAATCTCTCATCAATATGCCAAACAATTCGAAGAACTACCACACGTTGAGGATTATCCATTAGCTAATACGTTGGAATCAATATATATCAATATCGACGGAGAAATATCAATTAGAAGCACTGAAAGAACTAAAAGCGAACGGGAGGTATGTAAGATATTCATGTTGGTGGATACTTAATTATTTACTTTTAGAAATCAATCATAGGAATTCTCTATTTATATTGTTTATAAGGATTTCGAAACTTATTCGTGGAAATCCCTTTTTTAGCTTTAGGCTAGATTAAAACCTTTTTTTGGTGACCTTAGATATCAGATTATGAGAAACGCAATCATGTTACTCGTCTACAAGATATTATTATACTTTTGTGAAACTGATGACTTACCAATTTAACAATACCTGTTATCAGAAATAATATGATCGTACGTAACCATTTTTTTACTAATTATCGTACATTTCTATTGGAGGCGATAAATGAAAACAAACACGGCGTTCTCAGCATCTCTGTCTTTAGAATACTTTTGTATGACTCGAAAGATACAGAACGCATTCTAATTTTAGCCCGAATGTGACCGTGTTGAAATGAGTTCTTGTAATTATCAGAACAAGATGAAGCCCATTACGACATCATTGATTTTTCTGTTTTAAAGGTTATTTGTGATGTTATGATGGAATCGAATCTGCCTAAACTTGAGCTGAAATATTATTTCCAAACTGCATTTTCCATTGCTTGCGCGTTGTAATGGACTAGGATTTACCGCTTCTTCTGATTTTTCATCAGACTATAATATATATTATTAACGGATTATCGCCATGCTAATGATTTATTCGACAAAAAAATGTGTTTGATGATTGGTGATTTATAATCGGATATGCGTTCATGAAGCAACTCGGATTGATCGTCATGTACCGTGCTAAAATATATACAATTGTGTATTAGGAATTAAACCTAAATCTATTCAATCGTCAATAATTATCCAACGTTGTACCATATTGGATCTTAGTAAGTACATGTGCAAGTTCTGGAAAATCATGTCTGTGAGTGTGACTGCACAGTATGGTCGAGGTTTTGGTAAATACGGCTGCATCACTTATTATTATATTTTAATGTTCCAGCGCTAATTGTACAGTAGAAAGTGAAAATTGCCGCTTTCGTAGCTGTGAGTATGAGTGTAAAGACTAATACATGTACGCCCATGCCCTTTGCCCGAGGTTATTGCACACCTACTAATTTTCTCGTATAGACAAATTATATTATAAAAGGGGTTATCTTCGGGCCATAGAAAGATAAACCAACTGGTACACTTTATTTCTCTACATGATTTTGAATTACTCAATTTTCGGGATCAATTTCGAGTGACAACGGTGTCAGTTAAATATTTTACATTAACACTGGTGAACTATATAATTGAACAGCCAATTTGTTCGTGATTCGATTTGAACTCTCATTTGATATAAACAGACGGTAGACGGGATTTCCCACAATTTATATGCTGCCTAAAATAATGATTTAAATAAAGATTTAATTCTAGTCGATGCATCCCGGTCCCTGACCTTGTATCAGTAGAAGTTGGGACTGAAACATTCCTTAGATACCTAGGGTTGCCACCCCGCGAAATTAACCTACGCTCAGCCTCGGACACGAATACTTATTTATTTTTTAGCATCAGGCGCAAAACCTTGAATATCTAAATAACTTTAATTGGCGTTCATCAATTTCATAAGCGCCTTTTTCTGTTAATTTTATTCCACCTGTATAGTGATTAATCTAAAGCCAGATCTTACGATAAACCCGATACGGATCCACATACAACAATACAGCTATGTGTGTATTTGAGTTGATTCTTCAAATTTACACTTGATTTGTGACAACAATCAGTTTCCCACTAAAATAAAGGTTATTTGTGTTATCATGACAGTCGTTCAATTTAATTACTATTGTTATGATAACATACCCTCATGCTCTAATCATCAATTCATCAGTCGTTCGGATTGGTTGGCGTTTAAAAACATAGGCAGCGCGGGAAACTGCTTGTGGTCGTAAACCATATTCAAACAATAACATCAACGGGCATGCTTTATATATTTGCGTGTGATTAAATAACCACAATAAGAATTTGTACGCGAATTCATTTAATGGTTGAAAATCGAAATCCAGTTTTCGTCGACTGAACAAAATCAACGACATGTCTTAATATGAGTATGACAGGTCCTGAATGCCCGCTAGGCTTAATGATAGGTATGATTTCATCATCATATGGTACATATAATGATCATTGCTCGCTATGAAAAACTTATCATCGAACGTTGTCAGTAGGCTACTAAAAACAGGTTTATAGAATCGGCGGCTCTAACAATTAAATATATATCCTATGACCGGTAGGTAATTTATCATCAAAGTAGATTACTTTCAATCTTCAGTGCCATTGAATCTTACGCAAGTCTGGAATTTGAGCAATTATTGCGCAAACTCACCTGCCGTCTTTAAGCAAACATTACCTCACCCCTTTGTGGCTGTTTTGTTAAACGCCCAAAGCTGAAAATTGTTATTTCGTCACGTCATGATTCGTGGATTACCACTAAAATTTAGAGAGATTTGAATTAAAGTGATTGTAACTTGATTTTGCTTTAAAAATTAATGATTGATTGAACTACTCCATACGATTGTGATCGCAGTTCGTCTCCTTTTGGTTGACTTCTCGCCTGATAATTCCACGATAGGCTCAACCACAGTGCGATGTAAATGGTCGCACTAATCAACTCAATCAAGATGCAATGACTCCATCTTTACTGATTTTATTTTACAAGAAATTTGCTGAAAAAGTGCGCTTCGGATCAATTTGGGTATCGTGAAGGATTATCCTAAAAATGAGAAAGAAAACTCAAGCAGCGAAGAAAGGCACTCAATATTTCATCAATATTTTAGATTAGCCATGTATTTGGAATTTGCTTCTTGTGAGACTGAACCCGGGTTTTATTTTGGATGCAAATTTCCCCATTCATAATTTCTGTGATGGCCACCTTTTATTTTCTCTTATCTTTATCAATGTGAGCCGTTGATGTTATAGTCATTTTCATAGTACAGGAGCCATTATCAAATTAGAATTGTTAATTTTTTTAATATTTCATTTGGATCAACTCAAATTCGCCATCTCCGTGCTCTTCTCCTTAGCCAGTCATGATATACAATGTTTATCACATACAGTGGACCATGTTCGTATCAGCATGTAACGAATTGCGCCATGAAATATCACGAGATTATATACCATAAGTGCAAACAGATTTTGCCTCGGGATTAACTCGATAATAAATATCGATGCGCTTCTAATTGCTTTCTTTTATTCCAACGCATGGCTAATTTCCTCCTCAGTTTCTAATAATGTGTTTAATTGGCCACCACTCTGATTACTAACTTTGTCTGGTGGGTTATCAAGGCCCATAATTTGCCTGTTCTTCTGCCCTGCGTCAAATGCATCATGTGTTCGTATTTTTATTCGAAGTACTCGGATTTAACCTTGCTATTATCACTGCCTTGTTTGTATGTTTTCACATCAGGCGTTGTTTGGTTTAACTATGGAATTTCTTTGATTGCATATTTTATCGACTTTGAACGAAGAAACGAAGTGTTACGGATATCGATTTGCGTCATCGACTTCACACTCTATTAGCGTTCTTAGTTGTTTTCCGAAAAAATGCGATTTGTACAAAAAGTCGCATGTGACTGCCAAACCATAGACTTGTCTACGCAATACGCATACCAGCAGAACACCTGCCGAAGCCACCTCGCAAGTCGCAAGTATTGACTATGCGATGCGATAATCCAGTTACTAATTAAGCCTTTGCCGGAAAATAAAATAATAAAGTTTCCGGGTTAAATCAAATATGATCAACAAGTCCACATTAATAAAAAGCTGTGCCTGTTTCTCTGATGACCCAGAACCAAAGGATACACTTTCAAATAAAAATATAAGCCCCCGTCTGACCACAGTCTCAATAATTCATGAGTCTTCAGGAAAAATGTGGAATCCTAATTTCCAAGTATTTTAGGTCATGCCGAGGTCACATGAGATGTCCATCCTAAATTCGAATAAATTCTTCACAAGTTCCAAGCAAAGTTGCAATACATCACTCAAAAAATATTTTATTAAGCGATGTTAATTATGAGGCAGGTATTGCAAAAAAAAAAACAGAGCGACAGTTCTTTTTAATGATTTTTATTAGTTGGGGGCAAGTACCAACTGCCCTAATCAATACCGGCGTCAGATGCAGATCCGTAGAACATAATGTGAAATCGATTCTCAAAGCTGATAAATCAGCTGGGTAGTTATTAAAATTACTGGTCTTCGATTTCCCTTTGTATAGGTAGCGACTATTATTATTCAAAATCGGCCACCAATATCAACAGTAAATGATGTTCTATCGATCAGCTGAGCAGTAGCATGATATACCTAGCAAGTTTTCTGACTTTTCACCGTGTACACTTCACTGTCGGCCATATTGTTTTATCGTAAATCAGATATGGTATGCGGACGGCAAACGTTGAATCAAATAGTTCGAGTCGAGAATTTACTCGAAAAATACACGAAGCTCCGCAATTTACTGTGTTTTAAATTTTAATATTGCAAATGTCTAAATACACATGTTTGAAAATGTGCGACCATGAATTTTAATCTTTTTTTGTAAGTGACAGCGACTGAAATTTGTTTATAAAATATGAATGACGATTAGTGCTCAAGTACAAGAGGGGAAAATGTTATAACAATTCAACCTCTACAAGTATGATGTTGTGTTCAATTACAATGACATATTGGCGCCTAACATATTGCACTATGCTTTCAAGTTGGGTTTCTTTTTTGTGTTGTCAATCTATTATCTTTCGAGAGGAAAACACTTTTTGGGTGTGTATTTGTCTACACGTTGCGACCATAGGATCTGTACTAGACTATATTATTTTATTTCTTTTTCAGATGGTTGAATCATTCGGAGGAGTTGTGTTCGATGCTCTGCAATACGGAACCACCGAAGATGAAGAACACCCTCTTTCATGCGAGTTGGAAAGGCTTGTTAAAAGAATGGTATATACCTACGAAGGCGTTCTTTCCGAGGAAGTCGATGAAGGATATGAAGGAGAGCATCGATCATTGGATCACGGTCCATGTACATGGGATGTTGTAAAAAAGGTTGGTGGATTTGACATCAATTTTACCTTTACTTTGTGGAACGGTAGAAATCGCCATGTACCTTTCCCACTTTTCATTTTAATTATTGCTCTGCTGATAATTTGTTTATGAAATGCTCCAGGCAAGAGTGGAGAATCACTTCGCGGAATTACGTTACTTATCTATAGCTTTAGTACAGTATTGTAAACGATTTAAAATAATACAACACTCTGACAAAGGATAATTTAGTATAATGCAAATGATGCGCATTTATAACAGGATAAAATAAGATTTTCAACAACCCTAGCTTACTAAGACACTACCCTTTCAATAGTTTGATTTTGGAATTACATGTTTCAATTATACTGTATATATAATTTTCTGTACGTTCTATATCGCCATATAAAATCACGACTTCTGACAGATTTGAAACAAGTATCAAATTTAAGTAAACGCGAAACAGCTTTTTGGCTTCATTTCCCATTATAACTGCTGTAGTTTAAATTCTGCGCCTGTCTCAAGGGTTCATTGCAAGTTATCTATTATATTGTATAGTACAGGTTGCTTTTTACTGTAAAATTTTCTTCATTTTTAAAGAAATTAAAGATCATGCAATATTCATGAAGTGTCGAGACACGGTCCAATAATTATCTTTTTTGGTCCAGAACCCTTCCCCAATGGTGGCCAAATCTATTATAATTTAATCACAACCTGCTTTTTCAATTAACTGCCAAACTGCTGCAACTTAAGAATAAAATTAAACTTGTATTGGATGGTGAACTATGGATAGATGCGCCTGATACCTTATTTTATATATCTACAAATATATATGCTTTAAATAAAATACAAGATTATGTTAATTTGCTACATTCACATTTCTTCTAGTCTTTGTTTCTTTTGGTCAGTGTACATATGTGTGTGTATGCCACTACAAATTTTTGCTTTGATAACATTAGCGATTCAGGTTGAGGTTTACAGTCTTAATCATGTTATCGTTGACTAATAGATTTGCTCATTTGTTTGTTGTATACGCGTGCAAAAACTGATTTTATGGGTGAAATCTTCGAAACTTAATTGTTGGTTCGAAATTTGTATTTGTGAAATGATGATATTCTGAAAGCGTTGTAGAAGTTTTACACTGTTGCAGTCGTTGAATGCACTTCCTTGTCACACTTGAGAGCTGGCTTGCGTTGATCACTGTTTAGCTTGCATAATATTATGCATGAATTAATTGCCTCGCGCACAAAAAGATCGATTTTTGCTGTGATATCGAGGTCCTGGCAGAAGAAATTGGGTCGATTGCATTCCGTACGTTTACGGCACCAGCACAGTAAATAGAGAATAGGCTGTAGTGCAGGCAGCGATGTTTTCCGTAAGTGACGGTGACGTCACAATGATTGTAGTATGATGTTCTAAGGCTAACGTTATGCCAGCTAGAATTTCTGATCTTTCTAAACGTTTTGCTTTGCAGAAGAATATGTATTGGTTGTATTTTAACTAAATTATGCGTCGCCAAAATATTGGTATGATTTTGATAACAAATAGGTAGCGAGTAGTCTGGCGCAATGGTGACAAGTAAAGACATCAGACTTTACCACAAGGAGAACCTACGCAAAATAATAGAGCACTTGAGTTGGCTTAAACGGAGGCTAAATTTCTTACTGTTGTCAACTAGAACGAAACGACTGAAAGCAAGCAAACGACTTCGAACCTTTCTTCAAATATCTGTCAATTCCACGCGGATCTTATCCTACTGTGTCGTCGGTGTTGTTGGAATTTTCTGTCTTTGGCTTGTTGTAGAAGCAGTTGGGAAATTATTTTTAGCATTTTCTATTGGTATTATCACGGTTCTTGCTGTAGCGGAGTTAAATGACAGACTAGATCGATTTTATGAACGCCACTCAACTATCAGCGTTCCTTTACTGGTACGGCGATGGCATATAGTTGTATTACCTAAACTATATGAGTAGGAATCCTTATATTATAGAATTTACATTTTTGTTTTGTCCTCTAAGCTACCTCGGGTTTCTTTTTATTGTTCACCAGCGTACATACGTACATCACATAAGACTATAAAACGTTGAATGTTGAGGAGGCTTTTTCTCTAAATTTACTATACAAGATGTAACACTATATAAAAATAAACAAATACCTATATAGGTTTGTCTTTCGTGTTTTTGTATACGACTAAGTTAAAGATGTCGAAAATCTAGTGTGAGGACCCTATCAAGAACTTGGGTGGAAATAATGAGTTTCCACATCGCTTGCTGATGGTACTTTATGATCTCCCGCGGTGTAGTAAACATCCGGTTCATGAATTTCAAAGCATAAAGAAAACACTTTCACTAAAATTTATTCATCGAGACAGAATGGCCAATTACTCAAACAACTATTATTCATTTGTGTGTTTGGAGATGGAATTGCTAAAACGCAATTGTTTGGCATGTGGGCAATATTGTGTAGCTATGGAAACGAAGCAGTTTTTTCTGTGGTTTCAAACGTCCAATGAAATACCCATAAACCAATTGCTTTCGTGGCTCATACTTGTACTATCGAAATATTTTATCATTGAAAATGTTACTTTCTATTCAGATATGTGCAGAACACCTCGAGCAACCATCTCAAGCTGATGATCATTATCTAGCTGTATGTCGAGCTCTCATTAGTGAATCGCTGGATTTGAAAAGGTTTTTGAGTCAATTGTCTTCAATTGATGAAGTGAGTGGTCGTTTTTTTAAGATAATGAAGTCTATTGAAATGTTACAATGATTTAACGTTTGCGATCAGAACACTATCATGTCATGAGGAAATTTATTGTAACAATTTCTAATTTTATTACGGCTGTGATATGCGCTTGTCGTACTTTATGAATGAGTGAGCCAGGATTTCAAAATGGAAAAATTCGACTTGCATTGTGCTAACTATTTGTGACTGATGTACAAAAATATTCTGCAGTCGACCTCGCATAGCAGTCGCATTCAAAGCTATCTTTATTATCCCCGTAACGGAAAATAATGAGCAATTTGCATGCATTTATGCTCAATATTGCTAGTCATTATTGCAGGTGTTCATGAAAGTTAAAATAATTTTATTTTTTCAAAATAGTTAATTTTTACTGAGAAAACAATAAAAATAAATTATTTGATCGCATAGAAAAAAATTCTTTTTGTGCCCCAACATCCGACTAAAACAACTTCTCGGAAATGTTAGTCATGATGCACAATTAAATAAATTCTTGTTGACCCGGAAGTCACGCTTCAAAAATAATATAATCTTATTTAATTACAGATCTCGCGATAATAAGCACTTTTAAAACCATAACTGTTGTTTAATTCACATGTTAATTTACACATGTTAACCCATAATTTACATATATGACCAAGTTATATATGTCTCAGTATCTGCAATCAATTAAACTTATTTATGTTATTATTGTGTACCGTAATTCCCGCAAAACCATTGTGGGCATCCCCGACAACGTGAAATTATAAATGCTCGCAAACGCATATTGAAAATTATATCTTGACAGCGGCGTCGATGTATTGCAAGGTATATCACTTTTTGTTATATTTTTCTATATGCCTTTTGTGCGAGATCAAAACTTCGTGGCATATTCAAACAAAATCTCGTTCTTACATCCATCATCCGCCGGGTAATTATAAGCTAACTTGTTATTGAGCAAAGAGACAACATTCCATAATTAATATATGGTGTACATTGGAGGTGGCATAACATCGAGCAGTTGAGGATCAAGTGTGCTTATTCTCACAACGTAGTGTACTCCAGCACATCAAAGTGACTGCTAACTAAACGTTGGTTCATGTGATCGATCGATTAATGATAGTCATATTTCGTCGAATTATAACTGGTATCATGGTATGTATGGTAGCTTTGCGGATACAGTCTCACAAAAAGCACTGTATAGTGTATACTGTATACTATGAAGTAGTATTTTAAAACAACTCTTTTCGCTAATATAAAATGTACAGCCGAAGATTTTATATCAATTTAAATTTCGATGATTGTCGCTAAATGAAACCTATAATAAAAAAAATCTGAGATTCATGGAACTAGTTCAAGTTTAACCACCATATAAAGCCTCGTTTCGCTCTGACGACTCTACAAAGCAATTTTCGGTGATGCTCCGAGATAAAGTCTCTATTACACACGAATTGCTAATTTCATTATCAATGACATAGTCTTACCAAAGAATGATTATTTACGCGAAACTTCGGTGGATAAGTGTCTTGTCGGCGTAATGCACATTAAAGAATTGTTCTCTTCCGAGGACAAAATGTGTAATCGTAGATTGAATAATTATTTTCGGGACGTTGCCCCTCAGCGTTTGTGGGCGATCGTGGTTGAGAAGCCGATGTTATCAACAGTCACTCGGGAATCAACCAGCAACCTGGACGCTATTAAATTATATACTATATCACGGTTGCGGTGGGTGTGACAAATTACCCATCTATTATTATTGTCGCTTGGGTGAACTTGATTAAATGGTAACTGATAAAGTGATTCGACTACTTTGTAATATTTTATTGTAAATATTTTTAAAAACAGGATGTATCCGTTGACGTCTTTATTTCAAATATATCTACGCTTGACCCTATATTCCCCGACAATCTTAGCCCATTTTGACACCCCTAATTAAAATTGTCATTTCTATTTTTTTAATAAAATTACTCTTCCTCGTGAAGGGCAATGAAATGTTAGACTATCCTCTGATTAATGACTGAACCAGTACACGCCAAATACATCTAATATTTTCGTCGTGCCATTCACCTGTATCTTTGTCACTTACGGTAATCAATAAATGATGAGAAACCCGAAGTAATAGAATACAAATATTAAAACCGAATACTCTTTTCGTCTCTATCGTTGAATCGATTTTAATTTTGGATTCTGATTCACCATGAAATGAAACACGTCAGAAAAGAAAATCTACGGATCAGCGCCTCTCACTTCTCACTTAAAATAAATATTTTTCTGACGATATTGAAATTCGATATTTCGTTATTTATTGTTACCATTTATATACACTCTTTCTATTTCTAGACTTTAAGAAATCTGTCAAATGCAAACAACAACAATGGAAACTCGGACGAATGTGATGAAGCCGACGATATTCTCAAGTTAAATTCAACCGAATGGGTTCGTATGTTTGAAAAACAAAATTTTAAAACCCCGAATTTCCGATTCTTCTTTAATTTCAAGTTTTCAATTTTACAATTTTGTAGGCACATATATGGACTCAAGTCGTCAGTGATCTACGGTTCGGTGTAAAACTACGAAAGGTCGAAGGTCACGAGAGAAACATCGAATACGAACTAACACCCTACGAAATTCTTATGAAAGATATAAGGCAAAGAAAATATACTTTAAAAAAGGTACTAACGGTTTCGCTGCATTTTGTAGATTGAAATAGCTTTTACGAGTGCTCAATTTGAACTTGTTTGCTTCTCTTACGCTGAACAATGTGACACTGCTTGAATTGTGGTACAGAAACGGTGTTGTTTTCTTAGTTTTATTTTTTAGTTTTCAAATGCATATTGATTCTTAATTTAAGATCGCGAAATAGCCGAATCCAAAACAAGTTTCGTTGTTTAAACTTCAGATATAAAGTTTATTGGAAATAACGTCATAAGTACCAAGTGTTCCATTTTCTCTCTAATTTAATCGAGAATTTTGATCATTGGGTAAAGGTCCCGAGATGCGTAATAGATATTGACGTCAAGACGTATCATGAATATTTTATAATCTTATTTCACCGTCCCGACTTTTGCCAACTCGTACTTCCCGGTAAGACTTCATATCAGGACAGTTTTCACCGGGTACGAACGTTTAATTTGCGTGAAAGGAGCGAGCTTGAAAGAGAAGTCCGCATCGATTTGTTGAAAACAAATTCTCACCGTAGACAATAAAGTTTATTGTGGATGAATTCATATAGTCTGTTGTGGGTTATGGTGATTCTGTGTAGTCTATTAGAGTAACTTTATTTAAAACCCTACAGGGAAAAAATTACTTATTCGTTTGTTGAGAAACCAATTGAAAAAATGAGTAATGTATAAAAAGTATATCAGTTGAGGTTACACGAGACTAACTACCTTTCCTTGCTCTGTAGTGCATCCGTATGCTTATAACGCAAGGTATAAAGATGACTTGGTACTCCTGAAGTATGTTCACCAAGACGTCGCACAACCTGAACCCTAACCTGGTACACAACCTGAGTTCAGGTTCAGGTTCGATGACTGTTCTATTTAATCCAAGAGGCTTGCTGTTGCTGCTCAGTCAGCACACTTGGGTCAGACGAAACTTTACAGAAATAGTATGCGGCATGGCGCTTGAATATTTTTTCCAATGTAAAATCATTTAATTAGTAACAGTAGTAGCAGTCTGAATAAAAACCAGATACAAAGTTAGTATATATTTGATGGAAAATATTAGTTTTTTTTTTCATTGATAAATATTGATTTCGATTTAATTTGAAAATGATATTTTTTAGATCTCTATTGACGGAGAAATATCATCTAAAGTAAAGAGCAACGCCCACGATATTATTTTGGATTATATTAAATCAGGGCCAACGCTCAATCCGGTAAGCCATTTTGATTTATTTCACCGAGTTTTATTTTACATTTGAACTTTCATATATTCAAGAGAATTCCTGAAGAAATTTTAGTTTGCCTCAAATCTGTGTGTATTTGAAATTTACATTTTCGAGTTGGCAAGTTAATACCTTACCTATAACAAGACCGAATGAAGTACTCATGTTATAGCTTTCATTTCATGAATTTGAATAGCGAGAATCGACTTGAATACTTAATAAACCCGACTAATACTTGAATTCCCTTTTTCTTTTTGGGAAAATGTTCATTCGTATCGCGTTCATCTAGCATTAAAAAGTAATAATTAGCTGCTTTTCGTAACCCAAGTGTAAATAACTCATAAGAATAGCTTTTGGCTGCTTTTCAGCTGGTTTGAACGTTGAATTCGATCACTTACGATTAGAATTTCGTAATATTTTCCAAAATAAGAAAGCTATTCATGAAAATCTCTCCTACATGAGTGCTTTTTATTTCATTTTCAGATTGAGGAACGGAAACTTGGTCCTGCGCCTCCTCGTTCAAAGTCCTTACATGAACGACTGATGGAAGAAATTCAGGGTCCTGTTTCGCCTCTTCGACGGGTTGGAATTCCTCGTGACTCGCCTATCCACAAGTCCCTTGCAGCCATGATGGAACCCGAATTTCAACACACATCTATGGTGACTTCGAAATCGTGCGAATTTGATAGTAAGTTTTTTTTTCGATTTCAAGACCCTCGAATCACTTAAACACGAGGGCTCGAAATTTATAACTTGGCAAGTCCAGCTGCTGTTAGTGGGCGCGGTCGATTTCAAACGTGCCCAGGCGTGACATTCCTAAGGGGGCTCAAAATTTTGGAATGTGATTCATGATACGCTATTGCGTATGCTTGGTGTACTGTATATATCACGTCAAAAATATAAATATACATAATTGTGCTTCGCCTTATATTGCTCTAAAGACTAAATTTCTGCTCCAAAAGATAGATAATGATGACCGCACATAATCATAAAAAAGGAAAATAGTGAAAAAATATATATTTGGGTGTTCTGTCATCGCGTGAACAGCGGATGCTGATCATAACGGATGGCAAAGCAAGAACCAACTAAGCTTCTGCCTTTTTGAAGCTTAAATTTTATTACCCAGACTTGTTGCATCTGATTTCATCATGATAGTTGGGCGGGTATAAATTATTTAGCGCTTGATCTCGCTTGCGTTTCGGGGATTTACACCAATCACACAAGTCGCCAACGTCACTTTAGCAAGTGAGTCAGATTGGAGCAGTCCGATTTTTCGTCGAATATTAAAAACTGGCATTGTCGGTTGTGACTTTCGTAAGATACGTGTTAAGGCGAAAATGTTATTGATTATTTGATAAGAAATTTCAGTTTGATTGTCACTCAACTCATTAGCATATCGTTTACCGTTTAGAGTTTTGCTCCGTCAGTCCATTAGAGACTGCACTTCCTTTTTATTCCGTAATTGATGCCGCCTTTCATCTAAAGTCGTAAAATGACCTCCAATAGTAACCGGTGGAGGTTTGGTTTTATTTGGTTTCCGCAGCGATAACTAGTTTGATTGGTATTGAATATCTTTAAAACTAAATACTACGTAATATAAACATGCGTACATTATCGTGCCTCTTAGACATACACTCGCACAACAGTTTAGAAGTGTGATTTAATTCGTGTATAAATCCCAGGTCATAAGTGGACCTTCAATTCAGGCATTTTTAATTTAATATCGCTCCTTGGTGTCATGACGGAACAGATAGTATAGCTTCAACCCCAAAAATACGTTTAGAACAGCTGTTCCTAAACTCTTTGTGTCGCGCCGAATTGTCAAAGAAAAATTCACGGCGCACATACACGAAAAAAATTGCTGCCTCCATTTCATGATCGTTAATGTGTGCTTTATACTTTTTGAAGCTTGTAAACATATAGGCCTAAAGAATATAGGAAATGTCAACTTCTTCCTCATCTCTAATTTTCCTTTGAAATCGTAAACAAATCGCAGATAAAGATACTGCAGTTCGCGAAATTGCAGAACTAGTGTATTGTTACGTAACAATACAGGCACACGCTACATAACAGGAAGTAAACGAAAAAGAAAGGTAAAATGAATTGATTCATATACACAGCATTTAAATAATGGAACAATAAAACATTTATAATTAATACAACGTAAAATAATCAATAATACACAAGTCTGTTAATTTTCGGGGCGCACTAATAACAAATCGCTGCGGCGCACTAGTGCACTTCTTTCGGGACCGCTGGTTTTGAGAATTCATTCTTCTACTCGTCGTTCCTAAATTATCTGAGGCAGCACTGCGTGCTCCGTAGCAATCAATTGTTGACAACTTCAGGCCATATAGGGTATAGTCTTATTTAATAATGCTATTCTGAAGTCTTTTAGTGTAGATATAGAAAGTATTCATTTTATGCAGATTACTTCTAATAACATTTAATAAATTAAGTGTAGTTTTTTTTCATAAAGTTGCAAATAATTTGAATGATCATAAGTTTGTTAAATTACATGGACGAACGTTTTTCGATAAAAAGATCCCTAAATGAAATGCGATTAAGTTGAACTCTCGTAGAAGATCTCGACAACCTGGCAGAAACGTCGACTTTTAAATTGCTAGTTATCTTCGGCTAGTTTTTCGAAACTGCCAATTTTTTTCTCTCCAAATGACAGACATAATTCGCGTTTATACAAGTGTGTTTATGCCTGTTCAAATTTGACTGATTGTACCCCGAATCAATGAACTGACAATAACAAATTGTATGGTGCGTAAAGTGGCACCCTTGGAAGTCAAGTCTACACGCGGCGTTATAATTACATCCCATAAATGTTTCACTTACGTTGCTTTTACGTAAAAGGTCACTCAAGAATGCAACAAGCATTTTATAATAATATCACAGTTCAAGTACCATGTCCCTATTTGGATAGTCTCTATGTGCCCTATACCAATTATGTTTCATTGTGCATAACATTGCTGCTGAAGACGATAATTTTTATGTACAAAACAGTAATTTTATATAAACTATTGAATCTGATTCCGACTTTCAATTGCCTGTTAGGCATAATTTGGGGAACATTTTCTATAAACCGTGATTATTTTCGTTCTAGGTAGCAGAAAAGTAAAATCGGACATCATCAAAAGACGACTCGCAGCACCAACGCTGGAGGAAATATTAAGAAATAACGTATCCACAACCACAACAGATGATGAGGTAATGCCTATTTTGTTGTTCTCATTTTATGGTATCATTGAATGCATGAGCCATCAACATCATCTTATACTTTCAGACAACCCCAACTTCAGAAGACGACAGCAGTAGCTTTGCAATCGATTCAATTGCGACAGATGATATGAGTACTACCTTCAATGATGATTCAATCACATCACTTTTTGAAAGACATCATCCGAAGTCAAGACCGTGCTCTCTGCGATCTTCTGGTAAGATTGATTCAAAACTTTTCGAGGTTCTGGCCTGCTGGGTTACAAACAAATATAGTTCACACAATTACGAAAATTTGGTTCTTCAGTGAATAAATGAATCCAAGTTAACTGTAGTAGAATGAATGGTTTCCATATTCACTCCGGCGCCCCTGAGGCAGAAACTATAATCATACATTCAAAACAATAAAAAAATGTATCTAATCTACCCATGCCCATGACTGTTGAAGTCAGCAAGATCTCGTATTTAAAGGAGAGTTTAGTTATACGCAAGTATGGGCATGCCAGTTAAATTAGTTACGATTTATGATCAAATGACGCGAGTCTCAAGTCCATGTGTACCTGTCACCAATAAAACTGTCCTGGGAATCCCACATAAATTACAACGTTTGCGAAATATATGGCAATTCAAACATGACACAGCGACGTTAACGATTTTGTCGCGCGTCTAATATGATACTGGAAAAATTTTTCGAAGTGTTTTGCCACGTATAACTCATAGATAAAATTGTGTGTCGAGAATTTATGCCTTTTTGCAAGTCAAAACTTAATTTTTAACTAGATATGTTATACGTCGTCCTCCCTAAAATCAATATAATTACATTTGGCATTTGAATGATGAACTTTTGTCCAATTGATCTCGCCATCAATAAATATACCACGATATGAGTGATTACCACTGTATTAAGAAATCTTCAATAAAAGCCGTTATCCTTTATCGCGATTGTAAATTTTGTCTCATTTCTTTGAACTGTTTTGAACCACTTGCCCTAATTCAAAAGAAGATGTTTATGAATTGTTACATGTGATTCTTCTGGTATAAAAAAAATTGCTTAGGTTTGTCTACGAGATTTATATGTCCAGCCAGCGAAGTTTGCCGGCGTCTTTATCTCGAGTAATTTCGTTCGACTTTGCGCTCTTAGTCCTGTTGTTAATCCCTTGTGAAAATATCAATAAATCTATTGATTTGTATTATTAATCAACTTTCATTGCCAATGTCAGACATTGTTTAAAATCTTTTATCTTTGTTTTCTGTCGATTGATTAAATTTATAATCTTATCTAAGTGGGCTGTAATATGAAGAAATCCACCAATACTTGGCAATACTTTAATGTTTAGTTAACAGGAATGTTGTGGGTTGAAAACTGCACCTTATTTTTATTTGTTAATTTTCCTATTTGGAATCAATTGAATATTTTTTTTGAAGGTACTTCTGGCGTGTCGTCCGGAGTTTTAGAAGAACCAGAAGCAACAAATTTGGAAAATCACGGCAAATTCCAACGCAACACTACCACTGTGAGACGGAAAAAAGGTGACTTATCACATTTGCTCTATGTTAAAATATCGCTCTAACACAAATTATAACTAACTGTAAATATATATATATTTTTTCTTTCAGTTTTATCAGTAGATCTGCCGAGTCCGATTTTGAGCACCACTCCCGGTTCATCAGTAGATCCAGCACATTATCACAAATACTCTTCAAGAAATGGCGTCCGTCGTGCCACCAGTATGTGTGCCCCGCGTACTGGCGCTTTGGACGACCGTCGCGTGGCATGGCGTGAAAGATTAACAGGTCCATCACAAAAAGTTATCTTCGAGGAACGTGATGATCATTTGTTCCCACTACCACCCCCAGCGGGCTCAAGTTCTCCTCTAGCGAAAAGAGAAAAAAGAGGCAGCTGGGAGTTCACCACACAGGGTATGCGTGGATTACAACGTACTTCTTCGGACAGACGTCCACATGGACCAATGATGATGCATGTAAGTTTCGAGATTTGTTCGAATATTTGTACATATTTTAGCAAACATCCAATTTAGGCATCAAATATCGCATCTTCGTTTCTTTTGCAGGAGAGACTCAGCTACCCTGTGGAATGTGTTGGTTTAACTGTCGAAGAATTGATGCATATACGTGAGGTTTTAACGCGAGCGGAATTAGAAAAATATCAAGGCCAGGCGGAATTGTATTGCAATTTGAAATTTGGAAAAGTAAGCTGTAACTTTATTAAATATAATATAATTACACCTATTTGTACAAATTGTCTAAGTGAAGAAATTGTAATGTTCGGGGTGAGGTTCTTCCCCGTGCACAGGGCAGTTGTTAATTTACGGTCCAAATGAAACTGTTCGAGTTGAATTTCATTTATGGCTCATGCTTGACTCATTGACGTTGGCATGGTGATAATAATGGTTAAAGAATTTTATTAATTAGCAAGTCTGTGTGTTTCTAATGAGAATATTTAGTATAGACGGTTTACAAATAGCACTTGTTTGTTCACTTGCCGTCTGGTAGATCACTACATATACGCCTTGAAACTACAGTACTTTATGCAAGTTGTGATCTTCGAGTCCAATCGAATGCGCCCTCCGTCAGGATCAAACCAACCTTTCATCCCGAGTGTTGTGGTGTTTTATGTAGTATTAGCAGACTATTTGAAACTTAAGACTTAATAGTTTTGTGCTGCACAACCAGCAAGGTATATCTCATCCCGCCTCTAATATGTGCAAAAATATTACTCTGATATCAGCGAATGAAGATGATAGGAATTGAAACATTCAATGTTTTGTTATTAATAATTGCAATAAAACCGTTTTAAGTAATTTTAAACTTGCATGGGCATCATTAGTGAAACGTTGGGAGAAACATTATTTTTGAAGGAGTTTTCAGTGTTTTACTCATTTTTTTGTTTGTAACAGGTGTGTTTCAATTGTCGTATTCGAAAATTTTCTTTGTTCTGGTGGTCCTTCTCTTGTCAAATATGCAAACGAAAGATTTGTTCGAAGTGTATGCGGAAGGTGAATATTTTTGTCTGTATCGATCAAGTCGATGTAGTTTCTAAAATTTGTTCATAATTTCTATCGACTAATGTTGTATCCTGCAAAAGAATCTCAATGAAAATATCAGTTTACTATTTGCGAGGTTGTACTGGGGACTTTTGACCGAATTTGCTAAATAAAAATAAAGTGCGTTGCCGCGTCCCCGTTCGTTAACTACATCTCCATGAATTATTTTTATACCATTCAAGATTTGAAAATTCTCACTATATTGTTGCCTCTCCTCATATGAAAATATCCATATTTCTAGGTTCGCACACCAACGGATGAGTATTTACATACACCCGTGTACACCTTGAGTCCACCAGTTAATCCGCTAGGCCCTTTCAAAGCCGCATTCAATACGGAGAACACCAAACCACAAGCTACAAGGTATTTTTGTTTATCGCATGTTATTTATTATAACTAGCAAAAATCAGTGGTGCTATCATTATAATCGCACATAGTTCCTATATCATCCACCTTCAGCTCTGGTAGCCACGAAAGAATATATATATATATAGTAGAAACTCTACCTACGAAAGGCTCGGGATTTGAAAAATCCAACTTACGAAAATTTTTTTCGTAAAAATATTGCTTCGACTAACGTAGGATTTTCTACATACGAAAACCGGAAACAAAAAACGCGTGTAGTGATATTTGTTTATTTTACGTTAATTTAATGCAGTGCTTGAAGTAGCAGGGATGTCCAATTCGAATTTAATATTCGAATATCGTTTTTCGTGTTTATAAGAATACCGGATATGGCACAGATATCCTAGCGCCGCCGTCCACGTTTTGAGTTAAAACATTTTACAATAATTTCATTTTTTATCGTAATCGAAGGCGGTCGTGTGCGGCTCGGAAATAAATTACAGTCGGCATGAAAGGTTTTCAATTAGCGTCGACTTGAAGTGCTTATAACACGTCAAAGATGTTTTTGATATTTTATAATTATTATCGCATATTTCAATTTAGTCGAGATAATCTGTGCGGCCTCGGCAATAAATTTTAAAGCAAATTGTGTGATTTGTGTCGTAATTAATTGTTTTCGTTCTCAGTTTCGATTGAGAACCGAACACAACGGAAATTTTTTCATTTTTTGCAATTAGGAGCGTATAAAATGGCTCTCAAATATTATTTAGTATCTATCGCGGATTTTATCGTTATCCCGGCGTCATTGATGACACTATCGTTCAGTTGACGGTATTTTTTTATAATCAAAAATAAAAATGTGACAGCCGACATGAGATATTTAAATCAGCGCCGACTCGAAAAATAAAACTCATTTGGCGGATGTAAATTTGGAATTGGGTTCACTCATTTGATTATGACGATGATCGCGCGTAACAATATTTCCGTTTTTCTGAATCAACGAATTGTTTCGTGAGCAAAAGAAAACGGAAAAGCAAAACAAAAAAGATTAAATTCTAATTTTGAATTTCATGTGCGTGTGCTCATTTCCCTACATTACGTTCTCTCTCAGCTGTCAACGTTTAACGCCTCCTCTCGCCTCCCACTCTCCACGGTCTTCGCTTAGCCTAGCCTAGTCGGCGAACGCCAAGGGTAAAGAAACATACTGTTCGTAGTTTTTATTCGGTATTTTATCAGTTCTTCGTCTCCCATGTGTACCTTCTCTATTTATTATGTAGTAATCTAATTCTCACATGTATTTGTTACGGGTTTTAACCATTATCATAATTTATACAAATACGTATTATGTCCGAGTTTTGTGGGGGCTTAGAACGGATTAGGCCATTTAAAGGTAAAATGCGTCCCTACTTACGGAATTTTCTACCTACGTAGTGGCTTCCGGAACGAATTAATTTCGCATGTAGAGTTTATTCTGTATATGTTCTGATTTCGATACATCGTCTTGATGAATATTCAAATCATGCTAGGCCCATGTAATATGTATGTAAATTAGATACATTCGATAAAGGAAATTCTTTATTTTGAAAATGGTTTGAATGGTTTTATTTGGAAAATAGTTATTTTACTCAAACAAAATATGAGATTTGGTTAACTCTGAAAATTGTAGGAAAACAAATAAAACTTGCTTATCTTCCTTTCCATATCCTATCTATTCCTATTTTTTTTTCAGTTTTAAGGATATATATACAATAAATTGGGGGCCAATTTTTATATTGCTTATGAATGTAGATTTGTTTAATTAAAATGTTGAATGAAATTTACTGTTTCTCGGTCTTATTATAAACTTATTTTGGATGTTAGGATTTCATCAAGTACATCATCAAATGTCCTTCGAGAGAAAAATGGCGTTTATGATTCTAACCAAAAGCGCGCCAACTTGCAACAACAGGAGTCTTCGTGGGGGTTGGGATTTAAATCACGAAAAATGGACGTTTGCGAATCTTGTTGTGAACTAATATCACGAATTGTTCACACAACTCGAATTGCAACGAATCACCGCACACCGAGACCGACGTGGTTGGATAACTCAAATAACGGAGCTTGTGCTTCCAATAATTTTGAGCGATACATGTTCGCGCGCCCTTCACCAGCCAACCGTTTCCTCAAGAGATCAACATCTTCAGTGACCATGAGGACTTCATACCTTCAGAGGCCGATGGGGTCGTCATTAAGCACGCAAAATTTCAGAAGACTGAACAATGGTGTTGACAACATCAGGGAAATCAATGCTGATGATTAAGTTATTTCATTGAAGTGTCGGCTGAAAATAGTTTAAAATGGCTTTAAGGCAGCCATCGGTCAGTCCGGATGTGTCCATGTGACTATAATGATATTATTCGTCTTTCTGTCTCTATTTTTCTTATACTGGTGTATTTAGTCAATCATATATATACGACATTTTACCATTTAGTGTTTTCCTTATTCCATGAATTTCATTCAAGCGTACTGTACTATTTTCCCTCAGATAAAAATTAAAATATCAAAATCTTCTGAAATCTGGATAAGGCCGTTCCACTCCAACTTCATTTTGTCAACAGAGTATACGCGCAGATTAGCTGGTCTGAATTGCGACGCAATTAAACTTTGGATACATTTCATTGTTTCTGTATATATGCCATCGCTATCCGATGGGATTTATAATTCATATTCGTATATTTATTTTAATTTTGACCCAAATATGAATTTATATATATAAGGCTAATTTCACGAGAAAGTATATATGCTAACGTAATCAGCTGGTAGCCTGCTGCTGCATTGTTCTGTTGATTATTTTTCAATTCGATTTCCTTGTTTTATTTTTGCTTTCGTTTCGTTTGTTGAATCTATTGTAGACATATGTTATGTTCTGATTTTAAGAGATTCGTGAATGATGGGTGACATGTTTGTTTGGACTGAAATTTCGAGTCTTTTAATAACATAAAAATGAAAGCTTAAACAATGCAACACATTTTTACTGTCCCTTCACTGTTATTTCAACTAGGTCGCATCATGTTCAATAAAAAATTCGCATTCGCAATATCTTTTGGGCTGAGGCCGCGAAGGCGAAATCGGTGCGGAGACGACCAAACTAACCCGAACCGAGTCCGCAAATTACCAACTAAGTTGAATTTTGGCATATTGTTGGGTGTTGAACTGTTCATTTGTAAATTTGCCCAAAGAGGCTTTTCTTAAAATCAAAGTTGTTGCCACGGTAGAATCACTGTTTTAACCGATGGTGAGTCACTGCGATTCCCATCTTTCAATTAACTCCATGATAAAAAAAAAACATCTGGAGCGGGGAGTGACCATTGTTAGATATTGAATAAAGCACAGCAAGCAGATAATTATATAGGGATACAGAATCAAGTTTGCTTTGCCGAAAAAAATCGTCGGATGATGGAATAAAATATATGCAAATTGCCAAGGCCGTAACTGGAGCGATGTTTGGTTATACCGATCCCGACGAAATTGACTGCGGCGTTCTGACACACTTTCTAATTCAGTATTAAATGAGAAAACAACGGACTTTGTTGTAAGTCGCACACATCAGCGGATCTTCGTGCCTATATATTTGACCATTGCGGTCTTCACCAAATATGAATTACGTACAGTATGCATATGCAATATATACATCGTGCCGAGTCCACTAAACGCGCACGTCAAACTGCGGTAGGGAATAAATAAACGTAGATAAGAGAATGACCACGACTGGATAGGAAGTTTTTTAAGTGACCCGATCGGGGTCCACGGTGGTTTTAATGAAGCCGTACATGGTGCGAAATCAAAGTAACGATAACTATCCAGCTTTTAAAATACGTGAATCACTGAAAGCATGATAATACCCTTATACCTTTGACACATTAAGTATAAGTTATTCATAGAATCCCCTCAAAATAGCAAAAAGTGCATTGCTTTTAAGGTTTTTAACTGTTGAAGAACGCTTATTTCTGTTTTCTTTTTATTAGCTGATGCCTTTGCTTTATTTGCATTCCTGGCCTTGATGACTCTAACAGCAACAGTCTGTCGCATGTCGCGGACGACGAAACGATCTCAGTATATTTATTCAAATATACTTTTCATTTGGATGAAAGGGTTGACGCATAATAGTTATAATAATTTTTCTGTCCCATCTCATACCAATTTATCCCTGTCCTATCCGATGGGATTCTCAGTGAAATACAGGGCTACATGTACAAAGAGACATGCAAAACGACAAATTTAGTGACTTGGTTCACTTTGAAAATAAATAGTATATGACTAACAACAGAGCTATGCATATATATATGGACATGAATGCCGTAACGAAATGTTTTATCATTATTCCTCCAAAATTATACGGTTTTCTGAATACCCAGCGGCCAGCGCAACTTACCAGTGCCTGTATCAGCTCCTGTGAAGATGATCTATGCTACATTATCCACTTTTTAAAACCGTATTCCCACGAGTAAAAAATATTACAGCGAAATTTTGGATGGAATATCAGATCTCGCGGCATTCATAGAACATTCAGTAATAGATAAAAGTAAGAGCCTGCTATTGAAAAATAAAATCTTTAATTTGGAAATTTCAAAGTAATTGGTCCAGTAAGTAAAGAGAAAAGTGGTCCATAGAGCCATTCCGTGTTCAATAACTACGGCAATTCACTTTTATTTCTGTTTCTGAGTTACTCTGTTCATTTAGCAAATTATGAATTTCCTGCTCGTCAACTGTTATTAATTCTATTACTCCGGGCGAGTCCTAAACCATTCTCTTTATTTTCATTTCACACGCAAATCTGATGTAGGGGAAGGTTGGGACACTTTTTTCTTTATCAAATTTTGAGCCGTTCAGTCTGCACAATCATTTTACTTTGAGGGATTAATGGAGAGAGGGGTAAATGTAGTTTTTATTTGAGGACTAAGAAATCCTCTCGCGACACACATTTTACCACAAGATTGCTTTGAAAAACTTTCGTCAAGTGTCCCACTGTACTCCCACTTGTGGGGCACATTCGGACAGAACTTGCGGCACAGTGGGGTATTCTGTCAAAATTCAACGAAGTATGGTCCTAAAAATAAGCAAATAATCAGCATTATCATCTTAATGAACAGGGAGACCTGATTGAATACTTTTGTTAACCAAAATATGTAGATATTTTTACAAAAAAAAATCGTAAACAAATTAAATTATTTCCTTTTTCGAATCTTAATCTGGAAATATTTTTGATTCTCGAATATATATATATATATATTCCATATTGGGCCATGGGCCGAAGGATACCATAATATTACACACAATATAGCGCATCTCTAGGCCTCTAAGCACTTATTGTATCAAACACTGCCGAATTGTGCCCAGTAGGGCATATCCCACTGAACCCCGGTTCATTGTTCCTCATAGCAAACAAATCTTTTCAGACCATCCCTCGGCTAAATTGGGAAGGCGCATCCACTCGCCAACGTTATGCATATTTTACAGTAGACTGAAGCTAAAAAAATTAGACGCTGGTTTGTTCTGTTGGAAAGGCCAAAGAAAAAAAAATGGAATGGTGAAATTTTAGTTTCACCCCCCAAAACCAATTTAACCTCTTAGCTCGCGTCGCTTTACACGGCCGTTGTCCGTTTGCGAGGACGTTGTAACTCACCGAATGGCGGATTCAAACATTGAACTGCAGACAGCATTCCGGATATAGTGCGAGAGCTGATTTTCGCCTTGAACCAGTGCCAAAGGTACGACAAAAACAATTTTTGCACCAGCTTACAGCAGTGGGGACCTATGTTCATTCAAATGGATGTCTCAAAAATTTTGAGTCTAACATGTCCCATCGGAAATACAAATGTGTGTTATCCCAAAACGTTTTACGTGGTAATTCCATTCTGATGAACAAGCCTGACTCAAACGGATGCCCAAGCATGCTTGCAAAAGTTCACTCATTTTTGTCCTATTTTAGTTGGCAGTTTTAAGCTATGCCTTGAAAACTAGGTATGTATGAATAGAATATCTCGGGGCGTACAATTTTGTTATGAAAAAGTTTTAATCTGATTGTATTGATCAAAAAACAATTCAACTTAGTTCTTTTCAAGGGCAGCTGCTTGAATATTTCATAATAAAACGATATATATATATATTATATAAACCTGTTTGTACACGCCAACTCATGACAAACTTTCAAATTTATCACTAAATATCTCGATAGTAATTTATAAAAGTTTCTTTTATCGGCAAAGTTCCAAAAGTGAAACATTTTTTGTAAATTAAGTTGATTTAGAAATAGCATCTAATAGACTTTCAACGCTTTCCGTGCGCGCACTGTTTGCTTAGAACTCGAGCATATTTTAAAGAACACATTCAAAACAACAATATTTGGAAATCATGAATGGCAAAATGAAGCATATAGCTAAGTAGTCGATGATTCGCAAAAATTTTGCAATTTTCCAAACTGTTATTACTCAAAACTTTTCATCATATGTATATCCATTAACCACGTTCTCGTCGTCGTCACTAAAATAGAACTCGTATAGCTTCCTTTTTCTTAGTAGGGGAAGGTTGGGACATTTTTTTTTACATTTTTTGAGCTACCTAATCTGCACATTCTTTTGACATTGTGGGGCTAAGCAGTAGTTTTCAATCTGAGTGGAGCTGTTCCAGGGGTTCGGCGAAGGTCCCCTGAAAAAGTTGCATATTATGAGACTTTTTTTTATCATCTTGCCTAACAGGTATGCAAAAATAACTATAGTTCATCTTAGATATTCAAACTTACACGTTCAACAACTAATAAATTAGCGTTGCTATGTGTATAGCTTTGCGCAGATATAAATTATAGTGGATCTGTCGGTGTTCCGCCTTAGATTCCAGTACATTTCATCGAAAACTCAAATCTTCACAGATGCCGCATGCTTGGGTGTACTTATCTATGATATCTATATTATGGCTTACAAATATCTTAGGTTGTTACAATAAAACGAGTTTTAAGCTGAATATTTGCGTGACCCTTTGCGACAAGAAATACTACATTGCAGAGCTTTGCCCGAATTTAACATGATTCATTCAGGACAACCTCGATATAGCGCCGAGTCATATATATCCTATCTCTATATCTATAAAATAAAACAATTGACACACGCTTTTATTCGCATTCCAAATGACTTGAACTATCAACGTTTATGAGGCATATTATCATCTTTCGGATTTTCAAAGTTGCTATTTTTTTATCAGTTTTTCGCAATTTCACCCGCGTACTTTATACAACAAGGCACACCTGCTTTTCCTGAGGCCGGCGCTATTGTGACAAAACAATGGCTAACCTTGCAAGAAATTAGCTTCCGCCCTATAAAGTTAGGGTTTGGCTCCTAATTTCAACCGATCAGTACGATGGGGTTAGACGAGCACTTGCAGAAAAGCGCAGGGGTTGGCTGGCTCACAAAGGTTAAGAACCACTGGGCTGATGAATAGAGGGGTAACTGTAGTTTTTATGCAGCGACTAAGAAATTTCCTAGTGAAACACACATTACATTACCACTAACTACGATGGGGTTTGAAAATCGTTTGTCAAATGTCTCACTGCACCTACCTGTGGAACACATTCGGACACACAGCGGGGCAGTCTATTAACATTGATTTCAAAAATATTAAATTGCCAATTTCTACAGTTCACTTCTAAGTTCCACAGTTCTTTGGATGGGGATGCTGATTCTTTTCGTATTTTATAGGCATACTTCGTTGAATTTAATGCCCGTAATCTACCCACACTAGTATAAAAAATGTTTAAACTATTACTAAGCCTCTGCAATCGAATCAAGGTTGGCTTGTCCAATCCGTGCATTCCCGGTTTTCTGCTATATATATATATATATATATGGCATTCATTGCCCGTGCCATGGGCGCGGTTTGTACAGGAACGCAAAATGAGCGAAAAGTTTTTATTCGTGAATAGTAAACGATTAATGCCATCTGTTATGTCACTAAACGCAATTGACAGTGACGCTTCATTCAACTTATATGAAACTGTTAAATTAATACTATACTGACTGGACTAATTGTGGGCTCCCTTAATTTACCTTGGGGGCTATATTTAATATTTGCTTTACTGTCGTAGCCTACTGAAGTGAAAGTTTATAAACATTCGAACCACGAAACGTACCTCCAGTGGGGCTGAAAAAAAAACGCAAATAGGAGGAAAAGGTAGCTGAAAAATTGAAGAAGTTTTTTGTGCCTCTTCTAGGTAATGTTTCAATGCAAACACCGCTGAAAGGGCAAAGTGATGAATCTGAGCAAGAATCTGGCAAATCTAAACAAGAAATTGATAAATGTGGGAATGAAATTGAAGAACATTTTGAACGTGAACAAAAAACCTGAATCTGATGTAACGGATGGTCAAAATAACCCCCAAAACACTTTCCTTTGTCCTGCATAAATGCCGCGTTGTCAGTAATAAAATATAAGTATTGATTAACTTGTGCCCGAAAATCTTGTGTGATTGAATTGGATCGTTATCTAGTTTCTAGCACAATGGTTTTCAGAAAAAAATTTTGTCGAAAAGATCTCAGTATAGTTTCAATAGTCGAATAATAAATATTTGAAAAGTATGACAGCCAATTAAAGTCATTAGATAGATTTAGATTTCCTTTCCAAAACCTCTGTTATTTTTACGGCAGAATAAAATTCTTTTTTTATAATATATACATTTATACCAGTGTTTCTCAAACTTTTTTCAGCCATCTCCCTCGGCGACTTTTTGACTAGCAAACGACCCTCAACTCCCGATGAAATACTTCGTAGAAACGAATTTCCATGTCAATGTGTTATTCTAGAATATTCTTGATCTACGCGTATTCATAAACATTGCATATGTCTCGACCACCAGTATCAAGTTGTTGCAAGTTTGAAAATAGGAAAATCCTCGTCAAGTTAAATCTCGCTGATACCTCACGAGCCTACTATATTAAACCAAGACATTGTCGATTCCATTTTCATCGGGTTGATTTCGTCCTCATGAAAAGAAAAATCGAGTTCATTAAATTTATGGAATATGCCTGTCAAATAAGCTATGCCATTTTTTCCATTATGATACATTTCTCGCGACTAGGATCGCAAGTCTGCAGGAATTTAGCAACAGAAAGAAAAAGGCCGTAAAATCAGTCAGTCAGTAGTTTATTTTTCAACAAATA